CTAAAACTCCCCCAAAATCTCAATAGGGAAGCCGGCAGGCATCCAGGCTGGTCAGTCATTCGATCGATTCAGCAAAAGCAGAAGCACAGAAGCACGACCGAATGTGATCAGCGTTCAGGCATTTCATAGAGGCACAATCGATGTTGATGGGTGTTCACTAACGACTATCAGACAGCCTGGATCAATGTCAGAAAGTCCGCTCTAAATAGAGTGAGGTCGTTGTAACTTTTGCTCTCGTACACGCACGCACGCACGCACGCACGCACTCGCTAGTTCAGAATATAGCTGTTGTATTCCCTCATGTGAGTCTTTTTTTCCGGCACTGGGCACTGGAGCGGGTCAGCAGCAGATATCACAGATTGGCGAATCAGCAGGCATAACAATTTGCCTCAATATCATTAATTCACATCCGGTGTATGAAGAACGTAGAACTGTTTTAACTACTTCCAAATTTCATTGTAGTATGTTAAAGTACTTGGACCAAATGCGGTCAGAATATTCGCCAAGTAGAGTCGACCTTTATCTTATCAGTGCCGCTAGTCTGGTGCGTGTACATGAGCCCAGTGTGGGGGTCCAGTGACGAGGCTACGTGAACCAATCAGACCGCGGCAGACAGAAGGGGCTAATCGATACTCTCATGCCACTGTGGTCTAGGAGACGTTACATGTGCGAACTGAGAAATTACACAGCACACAGTTAGCATATTTTTGTCGCATGTCGGAAGCAATGACAACCTGGTGTGTTATGCATGTAAACAGGAGGCAACTAGCCGCTAACCGAATCATCCATAGGAATCAGGAGTTACGGACACTCTTGACAGCTGGGAACTGAAGTCGATCTTGACAATGGAAGGAATCCTGAAGGAAACCTACGTCAAACATCTTCAGTATTTACCCTTTTTGACAAAGGACACAGGTTTCCACTCTGGAGGGATCACTGATCAAAAGTGATGCCTATGGGCTAGTAGTTCAAAGCCCCCACTGAATTTCAAACTCCTGGACACCTCAAAGATCATAACGTGAACAAGTCTCTCGAGCGAATCTTAGCTAGCTCTCTTTGGAACAGACTTAGTGTTTCAGAGGCCATCCAGGGGAGTCCGACCCGAGGGACTGTCCGGTAGATTTTTTCGAATTACACGAAGACATTTCGTTTGACACTGGATGTTCTCTCAGCCAAATGAAATTTACAGTGGACTCCGTCTTGCAGAGCAGTGTACAGGTTGGTTTTCTTGGTTTGTGTGCTATGGTTCGAAGGCAGTCGACACTCCAACTGTAGGCGAAGTCATCAGACTGATACATTTGTCTGCCGAGTGCTTGGGTTGCAGTTCAGAAAGAAAATACGTGACTTTGAAGTAGTTTGCCGGTGTGGAGGCAGTACTTCGGCAGACCACGTAAGAAGAGTACTTGTAAATACCTAGTGATCTAAATTAATGGTGTTTGCGATACTTTTTTCAACCAGTTTCTGTCACTTTATCTTTCTGCAACAAACCATTTGAACACTAGAGAACAACATGTCAGCATTGTATTGCTCTTTTGGTGCTCTTGCATGAGCCTAGTTCAGTCTATGAATCAATCGCATAAAATTCCTGTCAGGTGCACCTATGACCCTGTTGCTAAGGTCCGCCTACATGTGTGCGCAGAAGTACATATGGCGTTCAGGTGCGACCCACACAACAGATGACGTGACTGCTGCCCAGCCTAACAAAACAAAATCCATCTCACCACGTGTAGACGGAAGCTCCGCATTAGCGACAAAATTTACCGTAGCGCGAGCGAAATAGTGTGCGAAGGCGTTCAGTATTCGCACAATGGAACTGAATTTTGAAAGCTGCAACATGTCCCTGATGGACTAAAAGAGACGGCCAGTTGAGTTCGGGGTACAAGTCCGAACTTTTGAGCCCCATCTAGGCATCTCGGGGTCTCGACAATGCTAGGGAATTATTCCACCAGAATTTTCCGCCATAGGTAGGATTGCTTCACTGGACAACGAAATTCGGTGAGCTGCGAAAATATGAACGCAGATTAGGCTGATTTTTTGTGTGAGAACATACGCAACAAAACGAAACATTTTGGCGTAAATTTTTTTTATTTCACTCGCAAAGGTTTTGCAACACAGAGCATAGTGCGGCTAATGGGCCACGTGTGCGAGAGATACGGGCCGGTACCAACGTAGTTATGTACAGGGTGTCTCATGATAGACGCAAAATTTGATTGGGTGAATAAACGTAGTTAATCAAAAGAAGAATGAAAAATTTACTTATTAGTAGCCACATAAAGGAGGTTTTGTGTGCAAGTGTTGACATTTTATTCTGTTTATGATGGATGTCAGTCCGCGGATTGAAAGTATGAAACTCTATTATTCCGTTGGTGGAAGCGTCACCGCTGCACTTCGTGGTTACAAAACCAAACATGGTCTCATCAAAGATCTTTTCACCGTGTCGACCATTACACGCTTGATTGCGAAATTTGAGTCCAATGGATCTTTATTGGATTTTCCTGCCAAAGGGAGAAAGTCTCTGAGTGATGAAATAGCGCCCAGTGTACAGAATGCCGTCGAGCAACTTCAGCCCCAGAGCACCATGACATCTTCGTCAATAACTCAGGTGTCTCAGTTGACCGGTATTCCTCACATCAGCGTGCATCGTTTTATGAGACACCACCTTCATCTCCACCCGTATCATTTCACTTTATTACAAACCATCACGGAAGAAAACAAGGAGCAACGTGTCACGTTCGCTACCTGGTAGCTGGACAATGAAGAAATCGTTCCCAACATTTTATGGAGCGATGAAGCAAATTTTTCTGTGGATGGCATAATCAACAAGCACAATTGCGTGCTATGGTCCCGTGAAGCTCCTCACGAGTACCTCACCCATAATCTCCTTTCCCCTCATCTCTGTGTGTGGATAGGATTCTCCTCAAAGTGTCTCCTGCGTCCCTTTTTCTTTGATGCTACGGTTTCCGGCGACAGTTACCTTCATATGCTGCAGATGCATGTTATCCCGCAACTCAAGCAGCACAAGAAGTCATCGATCGTCTTTCAACAAGATGGCGCTCCACCCCACTACTCAAACCAAGTTAGAACTTACCTCCGAGAGCAATTTTCTGATGAGAGAGTCATTGCTTGTGGATTTCCAAACTTTTGGCCCGCAAGGTCACTCGATCTCACACCTCTGGATTGTTGGTTTTGGGTAATGATCAAGGCTCGCGTATATCATGAAAATAAACCGAAGAATTTGGTGGAGTTAAGAGCAAGAATTGAAGAGGAGTGTGCACGAGTGACGCTTGAAGAAGTTAATCATGCTGTGTCTCACATCTCATACCACCTCCAAAATTTTTTGTAATGCCAGTTTATTCACAGCAAACCTCAATGATGCATCTATGTCCATATGAAAAATGGTAAATGTTTGAATCAATGTTGAAGTTTTAACATGGATATTATTTTTGCGTTTATTATGACACCCTGCACACAGTATGCAGTATGCACACTCACATGACTTTCGTTTGATGAACAATCATCCTTCCGTCTTGGCGCAGTCATTCTTGTACACTGGACTCGAGTCGCGTTCTTATTAGAGCTCATCAGCAGTGCATATCCATTACCCGTGCCGGGGTTTGAATTCCGGACATCTGAAATGCGAGGCGAGCGTGTTACCACGTTGGACGCATCTGAATTTTCATGCCTGAACAGGTGAGCATGTTCACACCTGAGCGATGCGTCCTGCTTGTGTCCCGTCAAGAAGTGGTCGGCCGACTGACACTATTTCCATTCATCATATCCTTTATTCTACACTTTATCCACATCAATATTTCTGTCCATTTAGGAGATAGCATACTTTCCATAAAAGTGATTTTTTACCTGCTTCTCCACCTTCCCAGTGGACTTGGATATATAGGTTCGAACAGTCGACATTAAGGAGACGGTGTGACTATGAGTGAAATCGGTAAATTTGGAGCACACTTTTAGATGGGAGGGTGAAAAAAAGTTACATTAGATACAACCAAAGAACAGTGGAGAAGACGGATTTGTGAGATGTGAGATAGTTCAGGTTTTCTTGAGTCCTGTTTTGTCAAACTGAAGTGCAGCTCAAGACCATCTCTTTTGGACATGGATTCAGCTTGAGGCTTCCGACAACCACAACTCTTGTTAGTATGAGAGTCATTCATTGATTTGACCGATGATAATTCGAAGTGAATCTCTTGTACCGGTGAAGAATAGAGCAACAAACGTGTTGTTTTTTGTGGAAATATGCTGACTGTTTTGAGCCATTGTTCTGCAATATCGTCCCACCTATGTTTCACAAACCCAAATGGACAACATCGTAAGATCATTAGTCAGACCCACCCCAGCTGCGCACTGATGATGTCTCCTCGTATGGTGACGAAGTCTTTGCAAGTCACGTGCCGAACTCGGCAGGCAGACCAGCAGTCACGTGATCAACAGCCAATAGTCAGATCACTGTTTACGGTAGGCTGCAGGGGAAAAGCGCTCTACTGGTCTTTTCAGTCGACATTTATTACTCTGGTGAGTTTAGACGGTTTGTACGTCCTTCTACCGTGTGCAAGAGGTTGTGGAATAGTTTCCAACCAGATTATTCGTGTATTCTTCGTGTTCAGACTGTCCAGCACACCTCGATGTTCCTTTCAAAGGTGTACAAGGGCACTCAGTGCTCCTTGAAGAAGAGTGTACGTACCAGGACCCTTTTATAACGCAGGATGGATCATGGAAAGTTGCCCAGGTCTTAAAAACTGTGAAGGCAACCCCCCCCCCCCTGAATGACGCCCTACTCCAGGTTTCAGGGCAATCATAGACCTCCGTATTGGAGACTCCACTGTTGCTGTACCATCCGAGGAATCAAAAGACCCAGCTGATTCGGACAAATGTCCTACGTCAATGAACCCAACCTCTTCACTTATCACAGAAGATTTATGCACTTTGAAAGATTTTTCAGTTGCAACCGGCGCTACTGACGAAATGAGCTCATCAGCACTGTAAAATTTCCGAAACAGATCACATACGGGAACATTCTCAGGCCGTTCTGATGCGCACTAATCATAAACGAGAGATTCAGCTGGATTCCAGGTGAGTCTCCTACCAAAACCAAATTGGTGAGCAAAGGAGTGTGTGCGCCAAAAACTGAAGTTGCTGGTTCTATGTGGGACGACAGAGAACCAGCAGAACTCTGCGCATATAGCTCAGTGAATGAGGTTCAGTCACTGTTAACCGTTACCTACAAATAGGGGGATATCCTACTTCTGCAATCGATGAAACTACATGAAATTGTCAACATTTCTCATCGTTTAAATCCCTGCTTTCTGGTGAAACGGATTTAGGATACTAAGTGATCTAAACAGCGTAAAAATTCAATTAACGAGGATAGTTCTAACATATGGCCGATTGGAACTGGCCCCACAGTTAAGATGAAACGAGTTTTAGTCGTACAGGCATGGGGATGGTTCGACATCAAACTGCGAGTGTCCATTTTAAGCAGAACAGGAGGGTATGCAAGTCTCTGTTTCATGACAATCGGAACGGCCCTCAAGTGGGCTGTTTATAAGTTTTTATCAACCTTTCGATTGGTACCATACAAGAGAAGCTACATCGTTATCTTGAGTAATGCTCCAGTGAAAATTGAGGCGGTTGCTGTACACCACACAGCATATCCAATTGAAATCCAATTGAGTCTTCGGTTTGAACCAGATTAATTGTAAAATGAGTGATTTGCTATTCCGATACAAAGTATTATTGATGAAAATTTTGAGGTCTAGATCTACCTGATAATCCCCAAACAGGGACATGAAGTGGTAGTGGACTGTCTAAGTAATGTCATGTCAATACGTGTTTCTTACTCGTTCTCGAGTAAGTTGCTTATCGACCGACTAATTTTGTCTTGACCATAAAAATTCCTGAGGAGAAGGAGACCATGGAGAGAGAATGTATTCGTTTTTTATGGGGAATGTTAATGTCTTATCCTCGGAGTCAATGCTTATATCGACTCAGCTGGGGAAAGTTTACTGTCCGGAGTGGACTCTATAGAGGACTGAAATTCTGGACGACTAGTAAAAAGTTCGAACCAGTACACTCCTTTGCAAATCAGTTTGGTTTTTCACGGGAGACTCAGGTGAATCTCTCATTTATGATGTTCTCCAACTGAATGTGCTGCACAAAGGCCGCCTCTGCGAGATGTCGCAGTATATTTTCATAAAGAAAACTACTCACAAGTTTGCTGAAAACTCTTCCACAGTTGAGTCTCTCGTGAAAACCAAATTGATTTGCAAATGCGTGTTTTTCTCGAAAACGGAAAACCGGTCTGGGCTGTTGAAGAGTTTTCATCTACGCTGTACGTAGTTTTCTTTGAACCAGCTCTGACCCAGGAAAGATGAGGCTTGATCATCCCGTGCCCTACGATATCTTTTGTTGACAATGGGATGCATCAGGTATGGTGATCACTCAACTGATGCTTCAATGGTTACCCGAATAAGGGGTAATCATCTCCGCAGCTGCGCAGGTTTGAGCTTCATCCAGATTTGATTTGTGCTAAATAGCTGACTATTCTATCAAGTAAGTCGACCGCCCGTAAGTGCACAGGTTGTATGTTCTGACTAGCCATCGACGTCGTTTTCCTGAGATTGCCAGCGCGTAACTACCTGAAGTGATGCTCTATACTCACTGATGAGTTAGAAAGTCCTCAAGTTTCTCAACTATTCAGAATCTAAAGACATTACTTTGGTGCTCGGTTTTTGGCCAAGGAAGTGTCTAAATTCTCCAGCAACCATTATCATGTAAGCCTTTGTTCTAATTTGTTACTTGTAGTATTATTATAAACAAGTGTGCCTACTGTTTGAACACTGTTTATCAGTAAGAATCTGTTAAATTCTGGACAGGAATTTTGAACCGGCTTTGACTTACGAAAGGTGTCGTTTGATCGTCTCTAGCCCTAAGACGGCTTTTTTTCAAAATGGGACGTATCAGTTATGGTGATAACTCAATTAGTGCTGCAATGTGTCTGAATATACGCATGGAAGTCCTAAGAACAATGAAAGTATCAAACAAAGCTTGTTTTCTGTGATTGTTCCTCTTGGTTAATGCATCACAAATCTATATGGTACCAGAAATCACGTGGAAAGGTTCAAATGGAGGGTATAACACTTTAGAGAAATAGAAATTAAGGGAAGGGGTATTTTGAATGAGGAGTAGGTCAATGGGTCACGGAATCAGGTAAGTGACGTCAATGTCAGACAGAATTTTTCGCAGGCCGGTTCAAGTTCATAGGTCGCACAAGTTTCTTTTGGACCCAAATTTGTGGATCCAGCAGTTGGATTCCAGTCGTCCCTGAGATCGATAGTAGTCTGGATCGTACCAGGTGTGATCGGTTCAGAGGTATCCAGTGTATGATAGTGAGGGTTTGCTGTTTGTCGATGGTAAGACTGGTTTCGGTCAGATGTGATACGATTGCAATAGAGCCTAGTTTCTTCCAACTACCACTCAGAGATTGTGTTCTCGCATTCTGTCCGACACAGGCCCTTATGTACGACCAACGTATGATGCTCAGCACGAGCATACAATGTTGCAATCGTTATTTGAAAAATACGCAAACGTGGTCACAGCTGTACAGGTTTGGGAATGATTCAGAGTTGATTTGTGCTAAATAATCGATTGTTCAGTCCGACTATTTGGCTAGTTGTGAGTGTTTAGGTCACGTGTTTTAACCGGTCGCCAAAGCCGTACCCCTAAAACTAACTGCGCTTAATCGCTAGTGCGAGAGGCACGTGACACGATGGAGCATGTTGGCTGATGAGCTCTCATGTCAATAAAAGACCTCGCGTTTACCAAATTTACAGAATCCTAAGATATTCTTGTGGTCCGTTTTCAGCCGAGGAATTCTTTACAGAGGCACTGAACATTCTCCAATAATCAATATTTCGTCACACTGTTCTCTAAGTGCTAACTAGGGGAAGAAAAGTAGTTTGCCACTAAAATATTCATGATTCTGAATGTACTGTTTTGCGCCGCGTTTGCCTCCCTTCATTCTTATCTGTGTCCTTGTGACTACCTTACGCCGAATATTTCTATCTAAGCTTTTGTTGTGATTTTTTGTTTATAGTATGTGCTTATAGTATGTGTGTGCCTAGTTTTCAAAGCCTCGCTTGCACCCTATTTTCCTTATCTGTGGCTTAATGTCCTTGTGACTATCTTACGCCGAATATTTCTATCTAAGCTTTTGTTGTGATTTTTTGTTTATAGTATGTGTTTATAGTATGTGTGTGCCTACTTTTCAAAGCCTCGCTTGCACCCTATTTTCTTAGCTCTGATCTTAAACCCTCTCTCTCTATCCATAGCTATTCTTTCTTTATCTTTAGTCGTAGCTGACAGATTTCACCCCATCTTCACAAGGTATTATGTTTATTTTGGAGGCGTGACTTGACAATCGACTGATTACTTGCAAACAGTTTGCCGAGTGCACATCAAAAGAATATTGGTATCCGCTTTACGAAAGTAAAGGCGAGATGAAGAAGCGCAACTAACATGCCATCATCGATTAATCAAAGTACATGTCTCTTTATATATATTATGTTCTTCAGAGCCCATCCTTTTCAGTAAATCAGTTCCTTTTTGTGACCTCCAAAAGTGTGACTCACCCGAAAACAAGCAAGACAAGAATGACAAGAATAGGGAAGCTCGAGGGAGTGCGAGCATTTTATGAAGTCAAATACGAAAAGCCATCGCTTATCAAGGGTTTGAGGGCCTAATTACAGTCTTAAGTTCACATAGATTCTTCGGACATGCAAAGGAGCCAAAATTAAGCTTGAATTCAGCGCCAAACCTATTGCTCATGTTCGACATGAATCCGCAGTTGATTGATAAGCTGCCGAGTCGATTCCCCAGCTCTGGATGGATCAGTGGTTATAGTTCGAACATATCAATCGGAAAGTCCGTGATTCGAACCCAACCTGGTACCCTAACTGCTCATGTCTAGGACTGGCCAGCCAACAGCATCTCACCATCCGTGCTTGTCAGGAAGGTCAGATTCCAGAACGTCCGGAACCTACCGAGACCCTAAAACTCCACAAAAATCTCAATAGGAAGGCCGGAAAGCATCCAGGCCAGTCAATTATTCAATCAATTCATCAAAAAAAATGAGTGTTCAGGATCGCCACACAATCACGACCGAATGTGATCAGCGTTGAGGCATTTCATAAAAGCACGATCGATGTTAATGGGTGTTCACTCATCGCCTATCAGATGGCCTAGATCAATGTCAAAAGGTGCCCTTTAAATAGCGCGGGGCCGTTGCAACTTTTTCACTCACACGCACTCGTTTTTTGCATAAAGGCTGTTGTGTTCCTTGTCGGTGAGTTCTTTTTCTGGCACCAAGTACTAGATGGGGAACAGCAGTCAGATATGACAGTGTCTCCTTTGGGTGGGATAGTAGCTATGCTCATCGAGGGTGCTAATGCCGAGCTAAAATAATATTGTTACTATTACTATTATAATTATAGAACGCTTTCCCCAAAAGTCGTCTTGGGATCCATTCTACGGAGCGGCCTATAGAATGTTTACCACATTTTTCAACCAAGCTTTCAATGTGAGTCTGTAGATTGTTGTTTTCGGTATTCGTGACTAGTTGTGTGTCCTGAAAACACGGCTGAACATATCGGCATTGAATGAGGACATTGGGCTGCATTGGGGATATGATGATTAGGGAAAGCCACTGAGAAGCACACTCAGTTGCATATCAATTTGGTTATCACAGAAGACTCAGATGAGAACTCTCGTTTTTGGATATTCTTCAAATGAATGTACTGCTCAAAGCCTGCCTCATGTTTCAGTTGGTAAGATATTCGAGATATCCCACAACTGTTGGGTTGGTGCGTTTCTGACCTGTTCATTTTTTATTGGGGTTGAATGGATATTCTGACTTTTGGTAGTAAGTCGTAAAAAATACTCGTTTTTTACTCATTAGTCCAGTAATAATACTAGTAATGATACAAGTAATCGTCCGGCTGTGGCACCCTTTCGGTACCTAGCAGCTTGGTCTCCCAAAGAAAGTATGAGGCATGGAATAAAGTCTGGTATCCCAAGCCTAGACAGGCGCAGTCGAGACACCTGTGTTAGGTTCGGGCCGAGGAACTCACGGTCAGTGGGTTTATGACTCAACCAATGAGTTCTCCTTCGCTTTTGCCACAACTGTTGGTTAAGCGCGTTTCTGACCTGTTCATTTTTTATTGGGGTTGAATGGATATTCTGACTTTTGGTAGTAAGTCGTAAAAAATACTCGTTTTTTACTCATTAGTCCAGTAATAATACTAGTAATAATACCAGTAATCGTCCGGCTGTGGCACCCTTTCGGTACCTAGCAGCTTGGTCTCCCAAAGAAAGTATGAGGCATGGAATAAAGTCTGGTATCCCAAGCCTAGACAGGCGCAGTCGAGACACCTGTGTTAGGTTCGGGCCGAGGAACTCACGGTCAGTGGGTTTATGACTCAACCAATGAGTTCTCCTTCGCTTTTGTTCGCACATTACGTTGGAAGTGCCAAGGATCTGCCCTGACTTCGATACATCCGTCTATCACCGATCCCCAATAAAATCTACTCGCAGTAGCACCATAAACAGAGTAAATAGCAATGTATCGATCCAAACTATCAGGAAGGTCAGCTTCCTGAAAGCAACCACTGAATGCCCGAAATCTACCGAGACTCTCAGCTCCGCTAGATGTCGACCGGACAGACAACACCCTCTTAACACGCAGTGCGTCACAGCCTTGTATCAAACCCAGACAGCGAGAGTCAGCGTTGATCAAGGTCAGATAACGCCCCCGCAATATGCAGCACGTCACAGCCTCGTACCAAAGCCAGACCGTGTGCGTCAGCATTGGATCGAGTTCAGACAGTGTCCCTCCAATAAATAGCTTGAGACCGTTGTACTTTTGGCACTCGCACGCACTCGCGCTCTCGCACTCGCTTGTTCGGAACATAGCTGTTGTGGTCCCTTCTGTGAGTCTTTTTTCTCCGGCACTAGGCGCTGGAGCGGGTCGGCAGCAGATACCACAGATTGGCGAATCAGCAGATATAACACAAACCATTAATCTTTCACGCTTATTCACTGGATGACTGATTGGCACCGAACCCGTGGGCTGTGTCACGTAGTGACTTAATTGGGTAGATGGCGTGCTAATCAGAGCTAAGCATGGTCCCCACCTGGTAATCCACTCAGAGAGTAACGACTAAACAGTTCTTAAAAAATGAGGAATAAAATTCTGTCTGACAGTTGGCACTGATCGTCATAAAATTCTGCTCAGTTTTACCCTTTGTTTCCATCCATGGGGATCGGTCTCTCAGGAACTTCATAAAATTTGTGATGAATTTAACGGTCAGCCAGGTTTGAATCAAAATTATAGTTAATCCTAGAATGTCATAGGCAGTAAACCTTTGAATGTGGCTGCTAACCTATTCGACGAACTGCCAACGGTTACCTGGATAACTTCAGCTCTCGTACTTATTCAGTCAACGTAAAAGCCCAAAATGGACCGTTCAGAATTTTCTTGAATATTCTCGACAAGAACACACTGACGAACACTGAGGTTTTAGTCATATCGCCGTCAGGCCAGTACATATTTATGATTAAAATAGCGGGTGAATAGTGAAATAAACAGCCAAGATGGGTCACTAAATTAGAAAATACAGAGAGATGGAAGATTGGTTGTCAGTGTGTTCCACATCGCATCCAGCTGGATGCTGTAGGATGGCTTGGAGGACTGTTGAGCGACTGCATCGATCGATTTCTGTCACACGCCTAAGCAGACTCAGCGCCCGGGACTGTACATTATGAGTTCAGAAATTCTACCTTTATTACTCGAGCGCACCAGACAGTTTGTCAGCTGCTGTTCCTCAATCGCTGAGGTCTGGTCTTTTGTATTTTGCTCTTTGCTACATTCGAGACCTGCAGTATCTTCCTGAGGTAGTCATCCATGTTTAGTAGTATTGCTTTCGCTCCTTTTCCAGGCTTTGTTAGCAGTATGTCACTCCTCTTTCGTTCAGCTCCCACTGCGTCTCGATGTTTCTAAGTCAGAGGACTTTTGTGAACCATCTTAGCGTGACTGCACCGATAGATGCATTTGACCAGGTTGGAGGATTTGAGGCCGTCCAAGTTAGCCATTGAAGTCGGAACGAATCATTAGTTTGTTCAAATGCGTTCATAAATTGGATTTCAATCCCTAATCTGCAATTGACATGGACAGCAGAACAAAGTTGTGTTCATGCTTCCCTGGATTTTCGTGCAATTTGGCTCAGGCCTTTTCCCCACTCGGGGTTTTGTTAAGCCTGAATGTAATCTTGTCAGCCTGTTTCACAGCAATACTTTTTTATGTAAGATGTAAACTCCTGGCATTCATAGTATGAAAGACCCTGTAGTCTTTGGTTGGTTAGTCGTTCCTACTCGCTCGGTTGTGCTTACAGTGTATCAAGCTGACTGCGTGTATGCTGTTTCAGTGAGATGCCATCGGGTCGGATACAGTTTCTGTGTAATTGCTTCTGATAAGTGGCTCATCAGATTTGACACTCCTGATTCGCGCTGTCTCCTCAAAGGAACTACTTTTGCCCTATACTTTTAACGTACAGTTCTCATTTGATTCAACGTCAAACCGATGAAGTCACCATGGGCTATCCTCTTTGTCCCCTGCTGAGTGACATTTTTATGGGCCAACCGAATGGGGAGATTGGACGTCCTCACTTTTAGAGACTGTACTTGTGCCAGTATCAAGCAGCTCCGAAGTGGACCTCTCCTGAACAAAACTTCAACCAAGAGTATTCCTCCATCCATTTCACTTTTGAAACCAAAAGTGATAACGCATTGCACATCCTGGAGGTCAAGTTAGTCGGACCGTCCACACGTTCAACTCATAGATTTGTTTACGGAAAGCACAAGCGGAAGAGACAATACAAAACTCCCATAGTTTTGTGGCACTGAGGTTGGAACGAACCCTGACTTACACTTTAAGGTACCGAGTGAGGCGAATTCGCTCTGCGGATACACTGAACTCTGAACCAAACACATAGCTAACTTGCTCAGAGCCACCAAAATTTATCTAGAGAGATTTATGACCAAGAGCATTTTCGAACGCCTTATTCGACCGTCTACCACTAACGTTGAAGAAACCAATTGGCTTGTCTACCCTATAGAGACGGTCTGTTGTTTGACACCGTCGGTGGCCACTTGTTTCACACAGTGCACGTTTTCGACTGCAACTCTGCGGTCTTGGTTTACAAGTAGCTCTTTGTTCAACTAGAATCTCAAAGACAAGAATTCTGTTATGTATTTTTTTCTCCTGCTGTTGTTCTCAACGGAATAGGCTGGGAATACTCCAGCATCTCTCTTGCCGGAACATTACTAGTCTGAACAATTCAGCCAAAAGCTCATTCTCGTCATACATAGTTGACACCGGTCATGTGGTCAATCCGGGCGAGTTGCTTCACGTTACCAACCGAGTACCGAATAGACTGCTAGTATAGATTCAACGGCCTGGCCTGACTACGGCCGAAGCAATCACGATACACTTGTGAAATCCGGTGCTGTCAAAAATGATTCATACGAGTGTTAAATCTGCCTTGGTCATGTGACACGGATTGATCGATGCAGTCGCTCAATAGCCCTACACACGGTCCCACAGCATCCAATTAGAGGCGACATAGAGTGCGCTGACAACCAATCTTCCAATTTTCTGCGTTTCCTAATTTTGCAGTCAATCTTAGCTGTTTATTTCATTACTTACCCGTTTTTTCTTGACATATACCTACCCGAATACGAGATCTCCAAACCACAAGTTCTGAATTTCACACTCACCTTGGTTGCTGGCGCCAGGTCACCTTACATGAAAGACCAGCGCTCAATAGGTTTTTTCACTTCTGCTCAGTTTAAATACACTTCGTAGCTAGTGAAGACATTTTGAAGTTCCCATAGTGTTAGCAATGTTGTGGAATGTAGGTAGCTCGGGTGCGTTGTTTGGTTGTTGGTCTGTGATTTCATAGTGATTTCACCTCCTAACTAGAGCCAACCTATTTTAAAACGCAGTTCGATCTTTTGTGATTTCTCTCAACGATGCGCTGTACGGAGTTTGTGGTCTCCGCTTAGAACCGGTGGTTTTCGGTCGAGTTTCATCTTAGCCGAGGCAGTCACTTTCGGGTTATTCGTGGATTTTTGTAATCCTTGGAAAAGTTTCCGAAACTGGTATGTGATAAAGTGTAGTATTTTCAAAGATCACTGATCCGGGATTGAAATAACAGATGTTGCATCTGGAAACTGACTTTGTAGTGGATGTTTGGTGCGCCTATCGGTTAGGACGAACACAATCCGCATTAGGCCTGATTGATCGATCAATTGTCACGTGAACAGCCGAAGGCTTAGTTATACTCACATCCACATCTGTAGAGGGCCTACGGGAATTGTTTATCTTTTTTTCGGTCACATGCTATCCCGTTTTGTGTGTGCGCTAAAAGTAGACCATAGTTTTTCTGATGATTAAACAGATGTCACTGACAGATATACCGAAGGTGCATTCCACTGTGAACAGGTGGAAAATGGGGAGAAATCCAAACCTCAGGTAGAAACCAACACAGTTTTTCGGAAGACGATCCATGTAATGTAGTAATAAACTGACAGAAGGCCAGTCAAACGGTCAAACACTTGTGGGAATACGAGAAAATGTAGCATTACTTCACTTGGTTAACTTTATGCACACGAATGGTCAATAAAAACAATCAATAGCTGACTGTCAATAAATGCTTTAATAGATCTTTGATGACACTTGGAACAACACCTCTTTACAGGAAACGTACATATTTAACTTTGAACATGACATAAATAGCAGTACTGGAGATTGATGACGCATTTGAATTTTGAACATCTAGGAAGGGGATGGACAACCTTGGGGTGTTGGTTCAAATGGACAGAGACAAAACACAAGGTCTGATCGATGCAGACGAAATGAGTTGGGCGGGTTTGTGATCACATATCGATTGGTCACGTTCACAGGACCATTTAACGGTTGAGAAAACGACCGCAAGTCAGTTGGTTTAAGCATCGAGCTTTCGCGTTGCAGGTGTAACGAAAACTTCCGAAGCATATCATCCACCGGTTGGGCCGAAGTGCTTAGGCGTCGACCTGTCCCCGCTGGTTTAGACTGTGGAATGACTGGTTTCAAAGGCTGCACCACAGGCCGCCGTTCTGTAACAACATTTTCCACAGTTAAACGACAGTCGCTGTCCAAATTGTAATCGTTCTCATCAATATAATTGTTACGATAAATGCCTAGACACAGAATACCCCTTTCTCTGATGGCAAAACAGAAGAGCTTGCCAAACGTGGACAACGCACGGGTGTTTGGAAATCCGGGACGAAGAATTGGATCCATCACAGAAAGTTGAGCTACACGCGGTCGTTGTCGACTTTCCCAAAGACAGTATTGGTTTTTAGAGTGGATGACCGATCGATAAGGTGATCTGTCACTTTTGCCTTCTGTTTCTGGTCTCAAGTCACTTTTACCGTAACCGTCTAGCCCACCACCCTCTGCAAGCCATTGTTCCAAGGCAGGTGTTACTCCACCCGTGATGAGGTGCCGTATTAGTGTCATAGCATTCCGGTCAAAGTAAGCAGTACTTGCGAGGACGTCTAACACAGAGGTTGTAAAAGCGATACCTTGAGCGAACGGAGCTGTCAAAGATGCAGGTACATGAGTCTCTCCAGACAACTTATCATCAGGATCCAAGTAGTGTATATTGGCATCTGCGGTGAGTTCAGTCAGTAGAGGAATCTCGGTCCCGAAACGCCGGTAAGGAGTGGCAATTGAGAGATTATTTGGATTAAGCGGAGGAAATCGCATGCCCCGAATATTGAGAGAGCAAAGGACAACCTCTTTGTCCATCATGTACGGATCATCTGTGCGCGTCTGCAGAGTTGATCCGAGAACGACACAAGAAGAACAAAACCGGATGCGGGCTGCTCTAAGGTCGGCGCGCGACAGCGGACTTCCAGGAAGGCAATAGACATCAGGAAACTGATCGATATTTGGCCATTCACGCCTCAGATAGGTCTCTTCACTCAAAATCACAATGGGTTTCAGCTGGTCAGTGTGAAAGTGACTTGCTCTTAAAGGCATCACAAACGAATGCAGACCCAACAAGGGTTTATCCTTGTCAGCCATAATGCACAAAAGGATATGATTGACTAGTTTTTTGCTTTTCCACCCGGAGGGAGCCGTGCTTAGGTATTTTTGTAATAGACTGTCTTCAAAGTCGCGTGAATCGCTGCAGTGATACATACCTTGGAAAAAAAGGTAAAAGTTAGACGACAAAGATCACTTGGCAAACAAAACCGGGTTTTGGGATGAAATATGACAAAAAGTTATTCTTACTGTAAGAATATTCTCTATTGGAGGTAAGAGGTGGTCACGTGCAGGACATACGCGCATTTGAGTGAGTAACACACGGATATGAAGATGCCGCATTAATCAAAGTCTTCTTGGTCACACCTCAGTTGGTGAGATCTTTTCTGCGAACACGAGAAATTTAACTCCTGTCTTGCGATACTACTGAGGAAAATGTGAACAGAATGAGCCGTATGTATTATCTATCTATTTACCAACTCTACAGTTTTTTAAGATCTTCTTGACCGTACATGACGATGCCATTGACATTCACCATATCCCGAATACCGTCCAATCTTTTGTTTTAGGAGAATGTTGGTAACTCGGGCAGGATAGTTGGTCGTTGCTCTTTCCGGTGAGCTCGGCAAGTCGATTGCGAACGTTTTATCGCTAATCAGGTTAACCATCTGCGTTGAACCCAGTGGGGTCAAGGTCAGAGCCCACTCCAGCAACGACCAAGGGGTGAAAACAAGACGGATCGGGCCCACAGACTGCTTGGAAATCTGTCAATCAAAACACCAATTAACGGGATAAAAGCACATATATTGCCACATGCAAGTCATCACCAGTTGTACAACCACTGATGTACACTGATGATGGCGATGAAACATCCACCTAATTCAGGGAACGAAACAATGGACGTGCAAGTCCACTCTGGTGACCACGGTGTAAAGGCAGCAAACCGTTAGAGACAAATGACTTACTGCCAACATAGATCGCCCATAAAGGAATGTGGAAAGCCAACACTAGAAATATGGTTCCCCAAGAAAGCGGGTCAACTGATTTGGAGCAAGGTGGATAGAGTGAAAGGAGAATCAAACACAAATATTCCGAGGAATACAGTGACCTTCACCAAGATGGACCATCCGCGGAACCTAACCGTTTCTGGGAAGTTTCCATTCCAGGGATCGACCAACTACCTAGTTTTTGTGTGGCTTCCGAATGACCGTTTCCTCGTTTCGTTCAATATGTAATCCTCTCATAATGGGCCAGAGGTATGGACTGGTACCAAAGTTTTATGAAATTTCATTATAGCAAAAGGTTACCGTGAAACTGTTCTCGTGATCTTGAAATCAGTCTGTTCTCATTTGTCATTCACCATGTCATCATTTAAAATAGCCTGGTGGTCGTTCTTAAATTAACTAGCAACTCAAGAACTTCCACGGTAGCAGACTGTGCATTTATCAGTCGTCATTGTCGAAGGCAACCAAGCAAGAGAATGACGTCCCTCTCGTGTCAGGTTTCCAGATAAAACACACAATCTGACTTCTGGAATGGAATGTTGAAATTCCGACATTATCACAAAGGCTGATTCATATTCGTCATAAATAACCCATCTAAAAGTGTGATTTTTGGTTCAAGCTGGGGACGCAAGCTACTTTTTGTATTGGAAATTTGGATGGTTCATTAGATTGTTCATTAGACCGGTGGATTCTACGGTCCACTGTAAACAGTGTTTGCATATCCTGACCTCTGAAGTCAGGTGATTCCTGGTATAGAACAATAGAATTGATATTATCAAACATTTCCGGTCCCTTTTTTCAGATTGATCTCTCACCGAACAATCCAGTGGTAAAGTTCAGGAGACTGGGACAAAATTCCCCCTATTTGGTGGTGAGGGGGTAACTATATGGAGGAAAGTCTTGCACCCAAGTTGGACAAACTTACTTTCAGGTTGCGTTTCGTCATTTTTTTTCGGTTGCAGTCGCGTTTATCTCATCTACTGATCCGATTCGTTGCAATGTTTAGATCACTACCAAGGTCTTGGTAAATCTGTTTGTACAATTCGTCTACGATCAGTAATCAATCATGTTCAAGTGTGATGAAATCGATTAGACACAAAACACTTGATTTAATCGTAATCCATGAGTTTAGTGTGCATCTAACCTGGAAAGGTTGTTGCTTTGTTCTGCGCATCGGAACCCAAGTATCCGCTCCGCAACCTGGGAGAAAAACAGGGCGTGGAAACAGAATCGGAACCTCTCTCCACTAACTTAGTTACCTCAGGCGCTGGCTGTTGGACCCCATACACAGTTCGACACCTCTCTGCCCAACGGACCACGAATAGTTAGGTTACATTTGAGAAACGTCCTAATTTTACAGGCACATTCGTTCGTCTACTAATTTAGTTTTGACGGGAGACTCACCCATTTGAATTTCTCGTCTATGGTACTCTTGCAATATCTCAAATGCCTTACCAACTGAGACACGGAGCGACCCGTGGCAGCACATTCAGTTGAAGAAGAATATCCCAAACGGGAGATTCAGTTTAGTTTCAGATGAGTCTCTCGTAAAACCAGATAGGCATACAAACGAGTTCATTAGTCGAATTTTGTGGAATTTTGGTTCAAGTATATCATAAGGTTGACGGGAACACGGGGACCGCGCGTACCTGATGAGTCCCGAGAAAAACTAAACCGGTCATGGGCTGTCGAATGTCCCAATTTCACTTCCTTTCGTATTAGTTGGGACAAATGTTTTTGTGGACGTTGCCTACTTTGAAGGTCAACGAGCTGAAACTATTTTGATATCAAAGTGTAACCTTGTAACAAGGTAGATCTGTTACAAAAGATGTTGACATCCAACGCAAAATCAGAGTAACGTGGGCCCTAGGCGCATGTGGTTCACCCTAATTTTCAAGTGACCATATAGGTTTCAGTTCAAGAAAACTCACCATGGATAAGAGCACACTGCAGACTCTTTCTCCTCCAACCCAGAGGAAAGCTTTCTCCATAAATAGGTTCTCTTCTGTTACGTCAGATTGAATACTTCTGGGATAAGCAAGTCACAGCTCCGATACAAAGTCATCGTGATTGATCAAATACCGGTTCAACGAAGAAATACCGATTAACTAGTTACATTGCATAGAGGTAGGCTACTCCCACCGTCAGGATATGTCTTGATCAGTGTTTACTATGTTCATTCTGTAAGGCACCATAATCGATTCGTGTTCCTACTTTCCAGTGGCAAGCAGACGCCTTTCTTTAGGGTTTTATGACTGCCACAGATTCATGACCGTACACACAGGCCTTCGGTGGATCGTTTTGATTTCGTTTGTTCCCTGATTGTAGGTATGTAGTTTCAAGTGCTTCCTGCTCACTTGTTCTCAAGCGTCGGTCAGCTGACACCTATTCTCTGAGTAATATGGTCATCTGGTACATTAGTGCATCTTTAATACAAAGCGTTTGAAATCTCTTTGTGTTTTGGTTCAATACTTCTTTGCTTTGAGCTTGCACTACCGATAAAATCGACTCACTTGGTAAAATGGAAAGAAGACACGGCAGGGACTCACTCAGTGGGACAGATTCAGGGGCGTTTCTCCGAGGACAACTGACAGGAGGTCGGTTATCCTAGGACTACGAAGACATCCAAAAGGAAGCTGCTCGGATCCTGTGACTATACCCGCTAAGGTACCTCCTTCGCGTGGTAGCACATCTGACTCCACAATGTGGTGGGTCAAAATGCGTCCATACATAACCATGCTCTAATCGAATTCTCCGACCAGATGGATCCCAAAGGATTGTCCAGAGTATCAAAACCGTTTGTTTAACAGTGATACATTACTTGAAGCAAAGTGGTAAGGCACGCAGGAACTTTGTGAAGCAGCCGGTTTGACTGCCTTAGCCTTAACAACCTGATGCCCCATCCTAACTCTAGGCGTACCTGGTTGAATACCTGTGACTACAAAACAAGACAAAGAATTTTCTTCTTGCCCTGACTACTGAAAACCTTACAAATGGTTTATAACTAGTTTGTACATTGTGGTACTGATGGAAGCCAAATTATTGCATCTCCATTTTCCTGATGATGCATTTCTGATAAGAAACCCAACTGGTTTACAATGATCGTGCCAAGCTGTGTTGCAACCGCGTATTGTCACGACTTACACAAGTTCTGTGTAAACCTTGAAAGATTTGAACTACAGCCCTATTGCTCACGACCTTCAGCAGCAAACGGACGAGATATTTGTCTGCAAATCTACCACAAGGATCCGGTTGTGGTGAATTTTCTGGCGAGAAGTTTGTACAGAAGTTTGACACGGTTGAGATGAATCTGCCCCCCAAAACCAAGCGAAATGTGAACTATAGTCAACCATATGGTGCACTTCACCAAGTCACCTAGTTTGAAAAAGAGTCACAACACATCCCATATACGGCATCCTTACCAGTAATATCTAGTCGGATGTTCTCGTGAAACTGATTCGATCGGGAAGCAGTCGGATCTGACTGTCTTCGCCGTCTAGTTTCGGGTTCAAACCCGTTGTTCTCAATTGTTTCAGACTGTCCCTCTCGTCGGTCTGCACCGGACGACGGCAACAGTGGATGTTCCGACATAGCCAGCCCACCGAGGGATTCCAAAGCCTGGTTGGTTTTCCTTCGACTTGTGATCCAGCGTTTGATGTTTTTACTGCGCAACCGATTGAGCCCACGAATCTTGCCTGGTTGACAATTGCAAGCATGTATTTGTGACGGTCTTATCGATGTTTGTTTCCCGTGACATTCGGCACAGTACACACTGGCTCGACTGGCGGTTTTTTGAGAGTCGCAAATGAAAAATGCCAGAGTTTTGTGTCCAACTCGAACATCACTCTTTACGTAAGGATTAATAGCCAGGTATTCGGTACACTCCTCAAATTCCATCTCATCTTCAAAGTCAAGCGGTATATCCAGGCCAATCGATCTAGTCTTCTCCTGTGGTCTTTGGGACTCTGGAACTTGGGCCACCACAGCAACCAGCAGTATGTTCAGTTTTTTCCGACAAATAACCGCAGTTTCAGCAAATGTCAGACCTTCGAAAGAACTGGACAGAGGAGCTGAATAGAGTTCCATACTTGCACCTCGGAAATAATTGACACGCCAGTATGGATCCTGTTGAACTGAACGGCGAAATTTCGTGAGTGGATTCTGGCGAAATGCCGTACCACCGGTGGTGGAAACGATTTTTGAAGGTGGAACTTCCGGTTTTGGTGAACGCACTTGGAAGATGCTTCTCAAAAAAGCTTTTGCGTGCCCCTTGGGCTGCTTTGATGATTCTAGATTCAGCATTCGATGACTGACCGACGCGTGAATATCTCCTGGATCAAAATATCCTGCATCCAAAGCCAGCCCAACTCCTTCCCCATGTTCTTGTCCATCATCGATTGCGGCTTCTTCTTCTAGGGTGGTGTACGGTCTGAAATTCGAGTCAGTTTGCTGTTCCACGTGCATCAGCTCGCTTTCGGAACGCATTGAGAATAGGTTGGTGATTAGCGTGGAGAATCCTGGTGCAACACAGCTTTGAGCGAGGAATCCCAGTTTCATCTCACTGAAACAAATGATTTCATCCCCCGCATCCCAGTTCCAGTATGGACTATTGAATAAATGTGCCTTTCAAGGGAAGAGATAGAGGTGAGGGCAGTTTGAAAATGCATGTATGAGTTTCACCCGGTTAAGTAATTCAACTTATGCTAACAGGTCGTGAAACATTATAAGGATATTTCATCCTCGGTGGGAATAATCGGACTTGAGCCCCTGACGACACTCTGAGAGATTGATATCCGCAACATTCCAGTTGGTGGCTTAACACTATACCACTCGGTCATGACCATCTGCCAGCAGTGATTGGCTTTCACCTGGACAAGATATGGAGCCAATATCCTTGAACCAAGCAGTGCGTCACACGAGCTGGTGTCCACCGGCTACACGAGCACGAACCAAATGCGACACAGTTTAGAGATAATCCAGCCTGTACTTAACACATTTCTCCCCCAACTGTTAGTTACTGCACCTTCGAAGTTGGACCAAAATATGACATCAGCCCAACTACTTCGGGATACAAAAAAACGAACAGCTCACTGACAACATGTTTGGGTTTTTGAAAGAAAAATTAAATACAAGGAGCTTTTTATCTGTTGTTTGTTTTATCGCTTTATTCTTCCCAAAAAGCCAGGTATTGGTGAATTCCCACCTAGATGCGTACCTCAGGTACAAGGTTGCCTGATTCTAGGTCCCCCAGTTACCACCGAATTACAGGTAAGTATCAGAACCTTTTTTGTTAACTACAGCAGACTACTTGCAGAATATAATCAAATAAATCATTCATCTGTAGTTCCCTTTCGGAGCCTAGCTGCTATGCCACCCGGAGGGAGCATGAGGGTTGGGATAGTGCCAGGTTTCCCAAGCCTAGACAGAGGAAGTCAAGATGCAGAGGTCGGGTTCGAACCACGGACCTTCCTATCAGTAAATTCGCGCTCTGACCACTGAGCCACTAGCAGAAAATGGTTGAGTTTGATCATGCTGCCAAGGGAAGTTGTTTCAAACGTTTTCACCTCCCAATTGGTATTTAGGCGGTTTATTCCTTCAAAAGTCTGTTTGCGTTCAGTTGTTCAAGAAAGTGGAACCTAATTTTTCCCATAATCGCCTAAATATCGAGTCTGGGCCCTGCAATATCTCTCACCTTTGGGTCAAACAGACCTCTCACTGGGGTTAACCTGGAGTCACATATATTTTGTGGTAGTGTAGAGGTCACTCATCAAATCACGCGTCGCAAACACTCAAACCACTTGACAATGCCTGTCCCACTTGCAACCTTAGCCGACAACTTGTACACTACAACTTCTCACCCATTTTTGTTCTCTCTGCTACCATTTGCGTCACGCGCCAGGATTATGAACTTCATTCAACACATCAGGTCAAGTTGTATTAATGTTCGTCCAAGCATCAAACACGAAGGGATACCCCTCTCTTCACACTGCAAACAATAAATAGGCACACAACCAGGTTCAACACACACATCCGCGCGCACAGGACAGGAAGTCAACAGAACTCCACAAGTCTCCACGGACAACTACGGAACACATGTAGCAGCTACACTGCAGAGAAGACACGTCCCACGTCTGGAACTTGACTCAGGAACTCTCAACAAGTGTCCTCAAACGGTAAGTCTTTTTTCTGGCTTATTCCACTTTTCGCATTGTATCTATTTTTATCAGTGCACCTAACCATTGTATTCGTCACCTTCTAGTAAGACAGACATTTGTTAGTGCTTGTTACCTTCTGATAATCAACTTAATTACGTCACAACTAGAGCACTAACAGTAGTCTAACTAGGATTCATTTCAAATGGGTCGGACATTTCAGCGAAGTTTTACCCTAACTGTTACAAAAAGATCACGAAGAGTGAGTATAATGCGGCTGCAGATATCGCTATTATCCAACTGATGATGAATGAAGAGCGTAGATTATTCCCATAATGGTCCGCTTCTCAACGGAGTTGGCCATTTTCTGCCTAGTTGAAAAGTATTTCAATGCCAACCTCACTCTTAGCTGAAACTACCTCACCGAAGTAGCCATTTTGGACAGTCTCTTGAGTTAATGCGTGTGACTGGAGGACGGGTTGGTGAAATCTCCCCGTTCCCGAAATTTCTCAGACTTACTTTGCAGACAATCAGTCAGCGAGTTATTTATTATGATTCAATTCAGTTTAACAGCCATAAGCCGTGCACCATTGGTTGCAGGTGCTACAGTTTCGATCACCTTAAAACGGAAGAGTGTGGGACAACAGCCAAGGCTTGGACGCGATGGCACGCCTGCTTAGTTCGGGAACGGCGTAGCTACTCGGTGAAGGCGATAGCTTCGATGCATGCGCGACTGGGCTATTTCAGCCAATGTCATTAACTATTGCTGATTTGAGTCCCGGGGTCCCCATCCAGGGAGGCGACAGTTGCCGATCCAACCAGGTTTACTTGTTAGTGCTTTCGTATTTCACTGCCAGGTCATACACTGTCCATTTCTCTTCCACTCAGCACAGGGCTGGGTAAAAAGAGCGCTGTGAGGCAGATGGTCTCCCGGCATGATTAGTATGTGTCCTAACCAGCGGCACCTATCGGGCGTGAGAATTCAGCAATCGTGGGAGAGTTCCTTCTTCCTAAGACCATCTGGCATACCTCAACATTGCTAATTCGCTGCTCCTACTAGGCCTGATCAATGCTCCGGAGACGCCGATGGTCAAAAACTGACATCTTCCGTATGTCTTCTGAGCGTAGATGCCATGTCTATGATCCATAAAGCAGCATGGATCGCACCACGCAGTGTAAACTCTGCCCTTGACAGACAAATTGACGTCACATCGGGCTGGAAAAAGTTGCCCTGGCCTTTCCGGTTCGACAAACAATCTCATCTCTCGCCAGTCCATCGGGACTTATACAACTGCCCAGGTAAACAAATTTAGCTACCACATCAATTGGCTCGACCTTCTCTTACTCCGCACGTATACGTCAGCTGACCATTAAACGTTTGTTTGTTCGTGCCCCTGTGTTAGAACCGATGTATCACAACGAGTGGCGCTCCATCAGCACGTGTTTGTATTCATCCACGGAATAATAATCCACCACAGACTGACCACAATGAAGATAGAGGTGGATCTGACCCCCCTACCAGCTGAAGCGTGAAGGTCACGAACTTCTCAACCAATCACAGTGCTCTATTGTACACATGATCGGCCCGTGGCAAACGCCACCCAGGTAAGCCATAAATGGATGAAATCTAGCGATTACCCAAATAATGTCCTATTCTAGCATTCTAAACCTTTGGTCCCGTAGAACCATGGTCGGTTTGACCTTTGGAATAGTGACAAAGATTAATTGTTTGGTGTTCTGACATTTCACGACTTCAAAATCATCAGACTTTGTCAGCCCCCATAATTCTTTCCTCCTGCCAGTCCACTATCCACGCAGAGCTCAGAAAAGATTGTTTTTCGACGTAAGTAGTTAGCACACACTGAGATTTGCCTCCGAAAGTATGTTCTGTTTAAGCACTCGATGTTAAAACGTACAACTGGATTTCCACCTCATTCAGCTCGCACACTCACCTTGTTCTCTGTCTGCAACAGTTGGACAATCACTCGCACGTGACTGGCGTAGTTCTTCACGGCAATCACACGCATGATGTTAGCAGCGTCCTTTTCTTGATTATCAGTGGTCGTGGAAGAGGCCAGAATCAGACAAGCGTCAGCTTCACTCATCCGAACGCGTTCCAGGTCATTGTGGTCCATCACTGTACCCTGTGGAAGCCATCAGAATAAGTTACTATCAGTGTCTGCTAAGTTAATATCTACACTAATCTCTTGTAGTCACAGGGGGAGCAAATATCGAATTCAATCCAAAAGGGGATTAAATGTCACGTTTAAATGAAAGATGGCTGGACCCAGATAGAGTCGCTCGGGCGACTCGGCTGTCAATCAGAATCTGGTACTGACACCAGGACCATTCGTTCAACCGATGAATTTGTCCGAAAAGTGATATTTCGTTGACCGGTTGTCCATTTAGTCAGACCATCCACTCGTACGTTCACCCAAATGGTTATCGATCTTGTGTAATGCACTACTCATAAGGTTGATGAAAATTCATCGACAGCCCGCGATCGGTTTCGCCCTTCTTGAAGCTCATCAGGTAGGCGCAGTCCCCGAGTTTTCGTCAACCCTATGTTCTACCTGAAGAGCTTTGTAATTGTCGTGTCTAAGGCATTTCAATTTCTGAACTATTAGCATACATATGGTCACTGAAAGGAAGAGGTTATCTGGCCCACAGAAATTCGTTTTAGAACAGTGGTTCGGGATAAAATCCACTTGGTCACACTTGGCTAAACCAAAGAAGTACATAACACACTCAAAACAGTTCGATTGATGAAGGCTTTAGATTAATCGAACTTTATGGTTCCTAAGCAGGTTCAAACTGATATCGTCCTATCTGTAAACATCCTATACCGCCCAATTTAGTGGGCTTTTTTGACCGACAGAAAAAGGTCTTCAGCGTCAACATCTGGCGTGATCATCGCTTGGATTTATTCTCTTGTATTCGGATGTATAGTTGGTACCGCCTACGGAACAGGAATAGAGACAATTTCGGACAACTGCGTGTGGTCCAACAGATGTGTTAATAAAACTGGTTGAAATCCTTTAAAAAATATACACTGCGATTTTATAGACAAATCTGACTCTCGTGAGCAATCGCATATCTCAGCCCTACTGAGTATTAAAATTCCAGATTTACGACAAAATTGCCGTAGCCTAAATTTTGTTACGATTTCAAATTATAAATGTTTAGTAGACGAGGGAATACTAATCACCTTTATACGAATGCACTGAAATGTAAAAAAATTAAACTCAATAAAAAATAATTAGAACAAGACACCGGGACCAGCTCCCCTGTTGGTAGTTTGAGCCTTGACAAGTAACCAAAATGCATGGAAAAGGCAGGGAACCGATGAACAACATCAGTTTCCGAGAAATACATTCATTTGCAAATCAATTTGGTTTTCACGAGAGACTCAACTGAATGTCTCGTTTATGAGTAGGTTGTGAGAAGTTTACCTCATGAAAATATACTGTGATACCTCAAATATCGTGCCAGCTGAAACATGAGGCGGCCTGTGTGCAGCACATTGAGTTGTAGAATATCATAAACTAAAGATTTAGTTAAGTCTCTCCTGAAAGCCAAATTGATTTACAAATGAGTGTATTTCTCGACAATAGTCCAATTTGGGTTCAGGTAGAACATGAGGTTGACGGAAACTCGGGGACTGCGCCTGGTGTCGAAGAGTTTTCAGAAATCTTGTGAGTAGTTTCTTCATGAAAACATCAGTTTCGTGCGAAACGTCAGACAGATGTTTGCAACTCACCTGCTTTTGATGACGTCCATCCACTAAACTTAACGAATGGTTTGGGTCCAGCTTTCAAGGTCAAATCTTGTCAGTGAGGCGTAATTTCGTTAGTTTTTATTTACTAAACTGGGTAATTCAGTTCCGAACGCTTCATCACTGACTGGCGCACGTCTGTAGCGCAAATCATATCTAGAACGGAATTCCTGGTAGATTCGAAGCAACTACCATCCGCTCAAATAAGACAGTATACTTACCAGAACTTCCTGTTCACGAGGCATCACGGGTGCCCAAAGTCTATAGGGCAGCTTTGTTTTAATATTTTTGCGGAGTGATAGTAGTAGGATTTATACCCCGTCACCCTCGTTTGAGCAACCACTCAAATCCGGCGCGATGAGTTCGGTTGGGTCACATGGAAAACGGAAGCATCGAACTTGCGTTCCGCTCTTGTTGGTTTGGCTTACGGATAGATCAACAACCCATTGTCCTGTTAACGTTACTCTGCTTAGTTCAAGCAACATGGGGTAGCACTAAACTAGAGCTTTACTCATCAACACCATCAGGACTACGCCTAACTAGAAGTGAATACATATGCTCACGGAACACTCAAAAGAAATGATACACGTCAGCAAAATTCACAGAAGTAGGGTGAAATAATTCAGCCAAGGTTGTCGTATGTTTTGTGGAGCACATGAGCGCTGAGGGGCTCGAGCTTAGAACCGGAGTCTAACACTAGTCAATACTCTTTAACCAAATCGTACTTAAACCACGGTTGTTCATGGTAGCGCAAATGTTTTCTACGTACAGTCGTACTAGCCCTCGATTCATTATGGAGAGGGTTGAAGTCCAGACAGCTGATAAGCTAACTTATCCAGTTGCTTTTGGCTTATATCAAGGAAATCTGGAAAAGAATTGACTGTCATGACAAGCGGCTTCAAAGGAGTCACACAAATACCTTGTCGGCCGTAATTTAATATTCTGAATCACATTATGCGCATTTTTCAACTTAGGCCTCCTCATAATCGATGGTATTGTGGGAGACTTTGGTGATTTTCGTTTGTGAAACCGAAAAGCACTGTATGTCAGTTTCATCCGTACTGGGACTCGTCAGCAGTGCACATCTTATAAAACTCAAAGGGCTCCGGAATCCGCAACCTTCTGGCTAGCAGTTTGAACACTTGGCTGTTCGAACAAGATTGCCTGATTAATAGCGAAGTTGGCTCTTACTAAGGCATGCCGCAGCGCCACTTCTCCCTGAATCAGGGAAACCACATCACCTGGTCACGTGTTGACTGACTTCATAATTTCTGGAAAGGGCCTAGTGGCAGAAAACAAATTATAAACCGATGTAATAGGTTGGAAGGGATAGAGCACAAGTTTAGTCCAGCAACACGAACAAAAACCGAGCTTGCACGAAAAGAGTTTTGATGTGGAAGAAAGGGTTGAGATCACCGAATTGAGCAATACCTGAATATGTTGCCCCAAGAGTGGGTAAAACTTAGGTAACCTTGGGAGTTCACAATTCGTCAAAAGGGCTTTGATTCGGCTTATTTAAAACGAGAGTCGTTCGTTGACAAGATGACCAACCCATCACTACGCACCACTATGCTCCCCAATAACGCGGTGATAAGTCACCTCGATTGGTGATGAAACGTTTGCAATCGAATTGCCATGCTCAACGAACAAACCAACGACCATCTAGACTACCTGAGCTACCAACATTTCCCTCCACACAAAACGAGGTAGCGAAATATCGTCACATCTAGTGGTACTGGGGAAAAGGGAATTCACACCACCAACCCATCAGTACATCCAATCCATCCGGTAACCTTTTGGAAGTGAGATAGTTTCACTTAATCACTTTGTAGTCAGGTGATTTCCATGTAAAGGCCACTGATGTATGGAATAGGGACGAGTGAGAGTAAATGCTACGTGTAGGAGACCAAGTCAAGTTTTGGGGGAAAGAGATTTCGCCATCATTTGGCCGCATTTTGCAAAAAAAACGGTAGAATAAAACATGAGGCAAGAAAAGTATCTGGTTTCAAAACCCTCCCGTAGAACCTTCAGAATAATGGCCCCCATTTAAAGAAACCGTCAGGTATAGAATAAAGCATACAGGCCTGGATTTCTGTCCCATGCTGAAGCAACCAAATGAACAACAGATTCGACTGCATCTGCTAAACTAATCAGGGTCAGCTGCAAGTAAGACGCAATTACTGTTCACACAGCTCAAGATGGATTCGGTCTAATATTCTCCACTTGTGACACTGGTAGTATCCTTGGTACACATCTGCAGTCAGGTATCCCCACAAAAGCCGTAAACTAGTGTATTTACTGACGGTATCTGTGCATTACTTTAGCCACTCAAGTGTACAGTACACTTCACAGAAAACCGTCAGTGACAGTAAACATCGCTTGTATGTTTGAAGGCCTAACAGATACGTAGGTGAGTCTATTCGTTTTAATGAGAACCTTCGAGGAATCTGTCGTCTGTGACATTCTGCAGACAAATGTGCCACGCACAGACTGCCTCAGGCCTCAACTCGAACAATGATCATGAGACTTTCCCTAGAACCACAAGAATCACCATCGCCATCATCGACAGCATAACGTTGGTGTTCAAAACCGATGCTTCGCTGCCGTCAGAATCCCATGAAAGGCGAAACCTGCGGTGGGCCGGCAAATGCTTCTGCAGTTCGTGACAGGCTTTTTAACCGCTCAAGAGTTTGTGCATGCGACGAAATTCAGACCGCCAGCCTTTATTCTCATTTAGCTTACAAATGCGAATATCTGGAATATCGTGACGTCTGAAACATGAGGCGACCTGGTGCAGCACATTCAGTCGCCTGGAAACATCACAAACGAGAAATCCAGCTGGGTTCCAGGTGAGTCTCTCGAAAAACCAAATTAGTTTGCAAATGAGTGTAGTTCGTTAATTTCGTGCAATTTGGTTTCAATTAAAACATAAGGTTGACGGAAACTCAGGGACTGCGCCTTCCTGATTAGCCCCAAGAAGGGCGAGACCGGTCGTGGGCTGTCGACGAATTTTCAGCAACATTTTGAGTAGTGCATTACAAATATACACGATTCTTCCTCATTTAGACTGGTCAAGTAACGGAGAAGAGCAGTGGTCAACACAGCCGCTCTATCACTTACACTGGTTACGCGTTCACAATAAATTGATAGCAGTGTATGAAGAAGGCCAGAAAGGTCAACGTTGGGAGCCGCAATCCATTCTTCTCCACGGCTTCAAAGATGTTCGTACAAACGACTCCTCGTTTGCTTTGAAAGGCGCCTCCGAGCTGAAGCAGAAAGAGTACTTACGGCGGGTCTGTATGTGGTGAAGGCGCTAGTCGACGCTCATGTTGTTCAGCCTGCTTGAGCATGCAACCAATTTGTCTGGGTAGCGATGATTGGTCATATAGGCGCTAATTCAGCCGCCTTCTTCACCACACCCACAACAACAGTGTTGTTGACTAACACTCAGCTAGGAAATCAAGATCCGCTTGGGTTATCCAAATAGGCGTTAGTGGATCAAAAACAGAGCCGGCAGACGCTGACCATTTCGCCTCTTTCTAATCCATATGCTGCCTGCAGTATATGGATTCGAAACGTTGTTCGTAGATAGCAGTTCGGGAATCTGCAGCAGGCCACGAAGCGAAACAGGTGCCGTCTGATAGGCAGGATTTCGAATGTAACGTGTACGGAATGACATTTTTCACGGTACGGGTGTGATAGGATATCGAAACTCCCAGTCGTACAAACATTTTCGTCCTTCTTGAGGCCAATCAAGAGGTCACAGACACGTGACACTTTTGTTACCAGATCTAGGCTATAGTCCGTGAACCACAAATCCATCGATTAGCTAACGCGTCCAGAGTAGCTGACTGTAGCTGTGATTCTCGTTCTAACCACCTTCTAACTTATCCTGACCTCATGTGTTTGATAGCTCCATCGCCGAACTTTACAAAAAGTTCAACTCGAATCAAGTTCACATGACGCATCACATCGTTCGATTGCGACCGACTATCCTGTAAGATGCACATTACAATACTGGTTCCCTGTAGCAAACGAGCATTGGTACTGTTCGCCACCTGAACACTTTTGCCTCCGTGATACCATCCGGTCAGCTCCATTATTCTCTCTCTTCCAAAACGGTAAGTTTCGGTCATTCTCTTACGTTCCTGACTCATGTCTTATCACTGGAATGTTAGAACACAGGGATTACATGAACTTGTGATAACAGAGTAGTGCACCATGGATGAACGAGTTAAATACGCGACCCACAATAGTGGATTAAACATGATATACAGCCGCCAAACTGTAAAATAAATTCAACATTTGATTGGCTGCATTTGATCTGTTGATTTATTTGGATGTCAAACTTTTTGTACGACTTATGCAATTTTTTCGCCCTGCAGTGTACTGACAACCGTTTATACAAATTTGATTGATGGATAGGCTGTTCAAGGCTCTCTCCGTCCTTAGGTCCGAACAGTACGTTCTTCTCCGACATTCAATCAGATACGAATAAGTGACACGTGATTACAGAGGTCCAGATCAAGTTCCTAGCTTAGATCACTGTACCATTTCGTACTTTGTTCTACCAACAACGCCCAGTCTGTTTTGCCCTCTGGTATTATTTAGTAAAGATGAACTATGAATTTTGTGCAAATGGGGACTACAGTTTGGTAGCAGATCATCCTCTCATTATTACTGAAAGTTCAGCAAAGAAAAAATTAACTAAATAGTACGTTTCATATGATTGGCTTTAGGAGGGCTGACTAGCGTGTAGATCGATACATCACAACAGGTACAGCAAGTGGACCAAATGGCGGAGCGGAAACACTAATCGCAACATCAGAATACATTAAGCAGTTCAAGAGGACAAATAAAGATACATGACTTTCGGCCAGGCAACTCGAGTGTTTTCCAAACCAAAACGCAACTCAGTTGTGAGAAGAGGCAATCAAAGGAAAGGAGTAAAACTACTGAAAATGGCCATGTAAATGCAGGCACAAGATGAAGGAACTTCCCAACAGGTTAGTGGGATTTATTTTTACGGTGCCGAAACACTTTGAAATCGGTTGCTAACCTCAGGAAACAAGCCAGTAAGTAATGGAGGCACTTGTTCACAAAACTGACAAGACAAACGTAACGGTTGGACAAATCTATGAGCTATCACTGAATCAGACAAACGAAAGCTAAATAAGAATTGACATCTGAACTAAATCCAGAAATTACTGATGTCTCAGTGAAGGAGCACAATCTGTTCACGTGGAATATAATATGCGCGAGGAAATCATTTATGCTATTCATATAAGCGCATTTTTTTGTGTACGTGAACATGCATGCCGATACGTATCAGTGGTGTGAAATTTGTGCGTTTGATACTCCATCACCCAACCAGTTGACCTTCTGGCCCACCGGTCAGTTTTTCGTCTATTCAAACTTCGTAATTTGCCATTCACAACCCTTTTTTGAGATCCCGGTTCTCCGGTTAGCTGATTGCTAGTGTAGGGGAAGTACTTTTCAACCTTGATGCCAAAAGGAAGCAGATTATTGCTGTTGTGATGACTGAAACTCACATCGACAAAGGGTTCTTCGACGGAAAATCCAAAAATACCAGCCAGGTTGTTTTTTCTGCGTAACTAGTGTGGGTTCGTCATGTGGAATGACACCGGTTTGGCTTGCCTGAAGAAAACCATTCTTGTGTCCGGAGTGGGTGAGGTAGAGTCGACCGATATCACACATACATTACCAAGAACTCTCATTCATGCTCATTCTGTCATCAAATGACAGAGCATTGTGTGAACTTCCGAGGTCTTGTGTCCGAGTGGGTGAGGTAGAGTCGACCGATATCACACATACATTACCAAGAACTCTCATTCATGCTCATTCTGTCATCAAATGACAGAGCATTGTGTGAACTTCCGAGGAACGGTCCCAGATAGCTACTCATCGTTCAGATTAGCAGCAATGCACCAATTTTTAGCGAATCACAGATAACCAAACCCACCAATCAAGGCCAATCAGATGAGATGCAAACACGGACTGAAAATGCTAATTATACACAATAAACATATGGGGATTATCACTCCATAATTAAGACGACGGGTTCGTTTTACTTCTCAAACACACCACAGCCTGAGGCGATTACGCCAACGTAACCCCTAGGGGTGTTTGGTAAGGGGATATAGGCTATCAGTTGTTGATTTGGTCGCTCAAAAGCGCAGCTTTTCTTGTGACCAGACAGTCATTTGCTCGCTTCATGATTTTCACATCTGTTTTAACTGTGTTTTTTCCTGATTACTGATTACCTTATCAGTGACAAAAGTTTTCTTGGCGAACGATAACATCAGGAGACATACAACATACATTTGTATGAATACTATGGATATGTATATAAATATTACTGAAGGAACGTGCGTGAAAACACAAAAATGGCCGAATAGAAAGACAAAAAACTTGCTCGACCGCATCAATCAATTGTGCGTTTCAGTCATTTCTTCTCCCTACAAACTATTCGGTCACGACTTCGAATGTGTGTTTTTAAGTCATTTTGACTGACACTTTATCCTTCCTATATCAAAGCAGGCACGGAATCAATTTTGAATTACATACTCGGTAAGCCAATTCATGAGGTCCTCAGGACTGCATGCTGGCCATCAGACGTTACCCGAACAAGCTGTTGACTAACTGCGACTTTCAAATTCCCGTGCTTACTTGCCCTTCATCTTCCAGTCCATTCGTGATATCGGGTCAGTGAAAGCAATCCGTGTTTCAATGTCTCAGTGCACACAAACTGTCCATTGGTCCTGAACATAAAGATGACTAAAGTTTTAGGTGAGAACACACCATCACCATCATGGACAGTACATCAGAGTTCAACACCAATGCTTCATTGCCCTACAACCATGACTTATTTGAAAGCCTTATTGTAAAGAAAAGAATAAAGGTGGATGGGGGAGGGACTTAGTGCTAGCTGAACACAATCATTCCGAGGTGCCTACACCTCCAGACATTCACTCAGGCAGTCTGGATAGAAACTGACAACAGGAACGCCACTGACATCGGTTGGCAGCCCTATCTTGCAGTGTGTCCAACCAGGTGCAGCGGGGATCACGTGGTCTCCATTCTGGAAGTCGAGTAGCATCTACAGCACCCAAATGTTTCGTAAAATCCTTCATAGCCATACGCCGGGTCAAGGGTTAGCCACCCCTCTGCTTACGCCACTCTAAACTGGGCATGGAAAACAGCACTCTCTTCGGCAAACGATGGTTCGGCATACGCAACACACGTCTCAACCAATGCAGCTTCTGATACATTCTTCAATGGAAGTACGCGTTGCACAACCGAAAACGCGCTTTCTAACTGCCTCGTTACGGATTCGCTGACACCAACCCACTCGATCTATGGTTCTGAGGCAACGATTGTCGAACACCTGAAGACGTTTCAGTTCCGCTGCTCGAATAGGCCAAGTCTCACAGCCATACAACAAAACAGCCCGTACTGCAGCCTGATACACACGTCCCTTGAGATTCAAAGATATACCACTTTGATGCCATAGGTTTCTCAAATTAGCAAACGCGATCCGGGCCTTGTAGATTCGTGCATTGACTTCAAAGATACGTAAAACGCTCCACAAATTCCAGTTAATCTCTCTGGATTCTAAGTGGCGTGTTCAGTGTCTGCACGTCCACGAGCCTGACCTTACACTTTGTGGGTGCAAAGTGCATACCAAAGGACGGGGTGACTTTCATCAGTTCATGCAAGATCACTTGCGCCTTTTCCTCCTCTTCAAAGATGAGAACGATGTCTTATGCATATTCGAGATCGACAAGCTATTTGACCACCGGGGTTTTTGAAGACCTTCCAGCATTTGTCTCATCACTTCATCGATCATAAAGTTGAAGAGAAATGAAGAGAATGGGCACTCCTGAGGGACACCGCTTTGTGTACGGAAGCTTTTAGAGAGCTCTCCGTATACTCTCACACGTCCGAAAATCCGAGAATATAAAGAGCTTATTATGTTCACAAAATTCCGAAGCATTCCTCGGTGGACAAGCGTGTCAAGAAGAACAGACCGACCGACCCAGTCGAAGGCGCCTTCAAATTCCAGGAACATTAGAATTTCGGGTCGATTATACGTATGGGGTTGTTCTAGCACCTGACGCAGTGTGAAGATTAGGTCAACGCAACCCCTACCGGGCCGGAATCCTGTTTGATGCTCTCGAGTCAGTGTCTCAGGAGCCACCAAAAGGTGAAGAAGCAAAAGTGACGCCAACAGTCTCGTTACGTCCGGGGTCAAGCACCAGGCCTAAAACAATAGCTGAAACATGGAGAGCGTAGGTGGTCAGAACTAGGGATGGAAGTTGTTGAGCTGAGAGGGACCGAATCTAATGCCACCTGGAGTTAATTAGGGCTTTGTTTCAATGCCGTGATCAGATGAATTCCCTCGGTTTCTTATCAGATGTACAAATGTATTCCAAACACCACGTTACCATGGCGTACATCAATTACATTCAGGGTAGGTGTTCTGGGATGTACTTTTCATTTTGATGAGCAGAGAAAGTACACAACTACTGCAACGGTTAATGATATTCTAAAGTATACATTATGGCAATAAAACGCCGAGCGGACTCAAGTGTGTGAAGAAGGATTTCTACATCTCAGCTAACCGATAGCTGACTCGAATCACTACGTGAAGGCACTGAACTGGCCAAACTGCATTCTCGACAGCCTTCTAGGGATTTAGTGGCCTACTGAAGGTACAAAAATGTCCAAGACCCCAAAATTCATTTGTAGCTAAGCAGACCTGGAACGGTTCCAGTGAAAATGCGGTCCAAACACTCACTAAAAGTGTATGGAAATTCTGATGGAAAGAAATAACATCTTCTATAGCCATTCCCGCAACATATTATCTACTGCTCTTTTTGGTGGATATCCTTGTGAGTTTTGCCCTTCGATGGGCCATGTAATTGGCGCTAAAAATAATTTCATTCTACTCATCAAGGCGGAATGAATTGGATCGTTTAGCCTTAACACCCTTCTGGTTTCTAGCTGCCATGTCACCCGGAGGAAGCACGAGGGTCGAAGTAATGTCAGCTTACTCAAGCCTAGACAGAGACATTGGGGATGCTGAGGTTGGGTTCGAACCACGGACGAGTTAGTCAGTAATATTGCGCCTTGAACATTGAGAAACCTCGACCCCAGGACAAAGGTAAGGTCACCTCTAGAACTTTGTCACTGAATTTCTATACTTGGAATAGATTCCCGATGGTAGTGTTGAGATACTTCAATGCAATTATAGGGGACCTGAGACAAGCACACAACGATTGTTTGGCCCGTGGAAATCTTTGGAACTTATGGATGCTGACAGATGGCTGGAATGGACGGCGATCACTTCAGTTCTGCATCTTGAACGTTTTTATAATTCAACAATATCGAAAATGCACATGACCGGTAAAGTTACCTCCTAGTTGAAAAACACGGGGTTATTACCTGAAAGTATTTCACTCTTGAGAAATGTAACCTCAAGATGCTTTGAAGCTGCAAATCGGGCATACACGGATTGATGAAAACGACTTCGACATCGGAACGTTGACGATCCTCGTGGAGAAAGTCGGACAGAAAGGTCCTAACTGAATCCGTTGTAATGTCACCACACACCACAATGTGTGACTTGCCTTGTTGCTTCACGTACGATCCGGAATATTTCCGCACGCTGAAAAAGCTGTCCACAATCACCGGAATAGCACTTGCAAATGTTGCCAAGGCGATTAGAATGAAGAGGCTCACAAATACTCGACCTAGTACTGTTTGTGGTGTAATATCTCCGTAACCCACGGTGGACATGGTGACAATGGTAAAATACAACGCACTCGGGTAGTCGATCGGATTGACAACATGATAAATGTTCTTTGTGAACAGTTCACCCGTATTCTCCAACAGAAGGAACATACCAGCCCCCGAAAGCCAGATTGAAAGAAATAGTGTACAAAAGTGACAGAGTCGAAGGCTGGCGGCGGTTTTGATCACATTGAAATTGTGTAGAACCTCGGACAAGTTGAGGAGCCGGAATGCCCGGACAAAACGAAAACCAAGCCAAGTACGCTTCATCCAGAACCCCAGCAACGTGGGTGGAACAGTCAGGTAGTCAAGAATTGAGAACCAATCAACCCAAAATATCAGAGCATCAGGAGCAGCGATAAGACGGGCAAGAAAATGAAGTAAAAAGAACACATTCATGAGAAAATCAAGATTCCGCATTCGACGACCTTTGTGGCCACACTTTTCAACATCAGCCGGCCATCTTGTCGCCTCGGAGACATAGATTCCAAACGAACATAGACTGAGGATCATGGATAATGCGATGAAAATACGTCCAGGTAACCACTGATAGCTCACGAGGCGGACCGCACAGATATGAACTCCTTGTCTACAGGCACGTACGGCATTTAACACGCGCTCGCAAAAGTTTGGTGCTGACGGTGAGACAGATAGGTTACTGGCCTCCATGGAAGCGTGTTGCTTTTGATCCATTGCCTCATTCGATACATTGACATAACTGGAACAAACAGAACTGGATTTTACGTCTTTTAGCAGACGATTGCAATCCGCGAGTTCAAACGAACGGTCATTCGGTGCAGCACCCTTTGGCGTCCGGTTCGTCCTTGCGCAGCATGCGGAAACCTTTCCAAATAATTGGTTCAACAGTCGATAGGAAATGATCACCGCAATGCCCAATAGAAAAGATCCGATGGATGACCCAAGAAAGCAGTACCATCTGGGGATGTTCATGCAAGCTTCCCAGTGTTCATCCCTACGGGAGTGATTGGCACTGTTCATGGTTGTGTTCATTATCGGCTAGAAACGGAATAATAAAACGTTTGTGAGAGGATACACTTAAAAGATGAACGCATCAAAGTATCCCAGTTTACTTCCCAACGCTAGCTTGACGACAGAGTGCTTAGTTATCCACCTGGTGTCTCACCGTAAAATTAAATGAACTGGCGGCGCACTTTCATCCGCAAACTGCATTGATGTATATGATGAACCAAGCTTGTTTGTCTTCAAATGAACCGTGGCATTTTTCAGTTGACAAAATATACTACTTATGAGGTTGCCAAACTATTTCATGAAGTCCATCAACAGCAAATTCTGAAAGAGTGACTGAGCTGGGTCGTTTGCACCAAATTGATTTCACCGGGTTACATAAAACATAAGACGAACACCAGACCTATGTATTGAGCCTCAAGAAGAACAAAACCGTTCTCAGGCTGTTGAAGAGATTTCAGCAACCTTATGAGTAGTGTTTTACGTCTACACAATGTAATACGATAACTCAAAAGTGGTACCAAGTGGAAAATGAGGCGGTCCGAAGCAGCACATCCCGTTGAACCTAAACATCATAATCGAGGTATTTAGCTGGGTTCCAGGTGAGTCTTTCATCTAAACCGAATTAGTTGTTGGTTTGTTTGCTGAGCTTGGTAGTTGGATTGCAAACGTTGATTTGATGTTCAATGTGGAGTGAGTAATTTCTCTCTCTTCTACCCGTGCTTATACATTAACCTAACAGTGTTTAATTATTGCAAAGTGAGTGGTCGCGAATTGATTTTCGAGTAATTCGGCTGGTCAGACTCAAATCTGAGTTGCATTCCTTGTATCTGGTTGGTCCGTCGGGCGCCTCCGGTTCGACAGTTCTGTTCTTCAGTTGTGATTCGGCCGTTTCCTTCTTGTCTTAACGTCTGTTTTCGTTCCACATGGTTGGTGAAACTAAAGATGTCCCATTGACTGATGAAGAAACGTTTGCAATTCAACTTCTCAACTCGTCGAATAGACCACCAACCAATCAGCGCACCCGAGCCGCCTATATTCCTCAACATCCTGACATTAATAATTGCCTGAAATAGTGTAGTCGAAATGATGGCTATTTGTTCACTTTACGCTTCTGAAGTGAAACTAGACTGAAAACCCTACAAAATTAAGTTGAATACGAAGAGAACTCGGTCTTTTTGGAAAATAGTTGATTCCTTCGGTATCAAAATCAGCGCAAGATTGGTCAGTGAAAACAGGAAATTTCACTTCGACTACAAATGTAAATTGCATGCGTTTTCGTTTATGAGAAACGCTCGATATCAGTTTACTTTCCTCTAACCTAGCTTTCAACGAAACGCCACGCTTTTCGAAAACAATGTACCGAAACAGTTAGGGCCTTACTGCCTCTGGCTGCAGAATTCGATAATCTACCCTTCCGGAATCAGACCCCACAATGTTTTCTCCTCGACAACAGGTGCTCCGTCCTTTTTAGCCGTTCCCATTTTACGGGAAGAAGACATCGTGAGGTGTTAAAATTTATCCTGCTCCCCTAAGTCGAGAGACAAGTAATTCATATTACAGCACTACCAACAATGTGGGACGAGGAGGACAGCCAACCGTTGGGTAAATTTATATGAAAGCTAGATAGTTTTTGATTCCAAGCCTTCTGTAAACACAACTGTTTGGAGAATTCTATCGAACAAGGCCTCATGGCTTCGCTTACATAAGAACACGTAAAACCGGCCTTCTACTCCACTTCGAAGACGAGAACGACGTGGGCTGAATACTCTAGATCGATAAGGTTTCCGTCGCAGGCTATTTTAACACCGAGGTTTCTTGGTTCTGCGCTGCAGATTCTTCTTGCTCCGTTGAATATCTTTGAACTAAGATTCCATCCTCAAAGTAAAGTCATTCTGAGATGATGAACTGAAAGCACTGTACATCTGTTTCGTTCTTACTAGAAATCATCATCAGTGTGCAACTTAGATGTCTCTAGAGCGATTCAGATGGGAGACATTTCCGGGCGCTATAACATTTGACCACGAAGGGCCGAACAACTTGCATTTAGACATGACGTTCTGACACCCATCCTTCAGTCAGGAAAGGTATATCGAGCGGTCACGTCTTAACTTGCTCCTTGTGTAACGACACCTCAAAAGGTCATCTCCCTGAGGGGTCGTTCAATCTAGTTTTCGTTAGCATATTCTGCCGTTTCCGGACAACTTCGGTCAAAACCAAATTGGTTTGCAAATGAGTGTATCTCACTAGTTTCTTGCAATGAGGGTTCAAGTAGAACTTAAGGTTGACGGAAATTCGGGAACTGTGCTTACCTGACGAGTCCCAAGAAGGGCACGACTGGTCATGAGGTGTCAATGAGTTTTCAACAACCTTATAAGCAGTGTAGTATGCCTGTATAGTCCTGACAACCTTTACTCGGGAAGCCTCGCAAACACACTGTCTCCATGGATGGGCGGGTTGCTAAATGATTGATGTACATCTGTTTGGTCCCAAGACACAGATTAATTTCGGTAAAGTTTGATGCAAGAATGCCACTCTGAAGCACGGAAAGGAAGTACGTGAATCCACATGGTTCTAAACTTTCAGACAGTTTGTGCCAATCCTTCAGGCTTTCGTGAAGTGGTTTGGCCTAACCACAGCTATCAGTGTGAGGCAATGGATTTGGTCTTCATCACTACAAACTAAGCATCTTGACTATGGATAGCATCAAATGCCACTTAAAAGTACAAATTGATGAAATAGCACATCCAGACACTCGAAACAAACGTTTGTCGATATTTCGGTGGGATTAAGATGGCCAGTCTACGTGCATTTAGACATCGTCTGGATTGCTTCAATACCAAGAAAAACTTTGATGTCTTGAAGGTTGCTTTGCAAAATCCACACATACGTCTACCCGAGGAACACATGAAATAGACCACAAGCTAATAAGCTTGTCGAACAGAAAAAAACATATCCTTTAATATCTGCATGGCCTGGTTGTAGCCCGCAGTAGGACCAGGTGATCCAGTAGTATCTTCAACTACTTTTTTCAGAAATTTCGAGAATGTTCTTAACTATATCTCAAACACGTGTTGAAGAACAACCCGCGGACATTGTATCCCAATATTTGCCCGCTGGGGAGGCGGTGATCATGGGACATTTTTGAAGGCATGAATAGTAGATGCTCTGAGGAGCATCTGGTACTCAGGTATTGAAATTTGATGGTGAGAGTGGATGCAAAAGGGAATGCCGCACTTGCGCGTCAGCGAAAACGTGGTATTTTCAGCTAGTTGTACTGAAATTGGGGGAAGGGCATGGCTGATCAAGTGCCTGTGCGCTCGACAAACTAGGGGCTTCTCTACGTTTGATTCGTGACCTCTAGACGAGTTGACCTGTGCAATGCGAAACATTGTAGATCAATGTAGGACACTGTTCTATCACATTACAGTCAGGGTTTTTTTATTCTCATACAACGCGTGATTGGACATATCTCCCCACTCGTCCCAAAGATAGT